TATGTAAAACATTAAGTGAAACAAGAATCATAAACAAATACAGAAGAAATACAGTCATTTACTAAAAGAATTGGTTGACATGGAAATCTTTCAAGTACAATATGATCAAGAATGAATAAAGGAAGAATTCCTAACTGTACTGAAGGAATTGACAAAAAACGTAGATTTAGGAATTGACAGAATATTAGTTGAGATGTTTGAGCATATTTGGTGAAAGTAATCCTAAATTCAGTAGTCTGTACCAAGAAATTTGGAAGAAAGCTACTTGGCCAACTCACCTGATCCATGTTTAAGCCTATTAAGAAGGGGGGCGGGGGAGAAGATCTAAGAAAATACAAAAATTATGGGAGGAAATAGCATTAGATCACATATTATCATTCTTGCTGAAAATGACTTTAAAATTATTGGAGGAATACCTAAAAAAGAGAACTTCCAGACTTAAAGCTGGAATCAGGATATGATTGTTGATATCAGTTATATGTTAACTGACAGCAGGGAATACCAGAAAGATATTTACTTGTATTTCATTGACTATCTAAAAGCATCAACAGTAATTGGTCTGTTGAATAAAGAAATTATTTATAATTAATACATTATTAGTAACATTGAGAAAATTGTGAATCCCAGGGCATTAAAGTGTGCTCATACTGAACCTGCATGAACATGACCCCAGAAATTGTTGTTCAGATAGAACAAGCAGATATTGCATGGTTTAAAATCAGAAAAAGTATGTTGAGGTTGTATCCTTTCTAAGACTATATTCTGTTATATACTGAGCAAGAGCTTGACTATGTGAGAAAAGAAGGTGGCGTCTGATACAGAGAAAGACTTATCAATAATCTAGAATATATAAATGAGAAACTTTGCTTGTAGAATACAGAAAGGACTTGAAGCACTTACTGAAGGGTATCAGAGATTCAGCTTTTAATATAGATTGAATCTCAATCAAGAAAACAAAAATCCTCACAATTGGATTGTAGGCAACATCATGACAGGTGGAGGAAAAATTATATTTAAGGATTTCCTTTTTCTTGGATTCATGGTCAACTATGAAAGCATGTGTCAAGAAATCAAAAGATGTAGTATAAGACCATTATTGTAGAAGGAGTACAAGGATACAAAGGCTGGGAGAGGGAGTGACTTAATCATAGTGTCACACAATTTTATGAGTAGAGGGAGGGGTGAGTAAAGGAAAGGGGAAAACAGTAGTGTGAAAAACAATGTTTATGAACTTCCTGAGTAAACCAGTATTTTAAAAATAGTAGTATATTGGGAAAATCTACTGTCAAAGACTTCTTTAAAGTGCTAAAGAACAAAGATGTCAATTTAAAGACTAAGGTGTCTTATCACAGTTGTGGTATTTTCAACTGCTTCATGTAAATATGGAAATTAGACAATGAATAAAAAAGACCAAAGAAGAATCAATGCCTTTAAATTGTGGTATTGGCAAAGAGTAATGACCATACTATGAACTGCCAAAAGAACAAATAGATTGTCTTGGAGAAAGTGCAGCCAGAGTTCTCCTTAGAAGCACAAATAATGACATTTTTCCTTATATAATTTGGGTATATTGTAGGAGGGGTCAGTTCTTGGACATCATGCTTGGGAAAGAGGTATATTGCCAAAGTATTGAAAGACCCTCAATGAGATGGCTTAGGAAGTAATTATATTTAGAAAAATTCCATTTTTTAATACACTGTAACTTCACAGAGTTTTCTTCTCTCAACTATAAAAGTATTCTGTGGGCATGATGCCATCTTGCTCTTCCAGCGCTATCTAAAAAAGCAGGATTCTCCCTACGGGGATTTAAATATTGTAGAGGCTGATGTATAAGGAGCAGATAAAATGTGAGTGTGGCCATGTTTCACTTCTGCCTACTTTATAAAGGGGAACTGTCCTCGTTAATAATATGCATAACACCATACAAATAGCTACATGGCCAGACATGCTACCACATTCCCATGTTCCTGCACTTGTTTTTACCAATACTTGGATCTGATATTAATTGGAACTTGACCAACACAAACTTTACTCGCAGTGTGGAGGTGATTAGGGAAATAGGGTGTAGAGTGGTGGTGGCAAAGAATATCACACAGTGCAAGCCCAGGTTTATCCCAGCAGTCCCAAGCCAGATTAACTAGGCATAATACCTCAATTTGTGAAAGTCCAGGTTCATTTCAGGAGCTTGAATGTGAGAAGCCTCTGATTTCCTCATATGTCTAGCAAACTTTTTCTCAGAGCAGCTATAAGTCAGCTTTCCCATTGAATCATCCAGCAAGGGAAAGTAACTGTGGGATTTATCTATAGGGTTCCTCTAGTTACAACTTGCCACAATCTCTTTGCAGCAGTGACACATTCTCTTTACCTCTTTCCATCACTGTCAATGCCATTTCTCACTGTAGAAAGCACTCTCTTATATTGGTCCCACAGCTACTGATGATTTGCAAGACAATGTGTACTCAAGTAAGATAGCTGGAGATTGTGCCCCCAACGGGGCTAACACAGTGTCTAGAAAAGCCAGTTTTCCAGGGTTCTGATACCTGAGCTGGGCTCTGAGGTTGGTGATTTTGAGTATTGATTGCAAATACTATCATGTTTGCATTATTTTTATACTTTTGTATGTAATCTGTCAAAAGGGAAATTATATTCTCTGATGTTGTTGTTGCTGTGGAACTAACCCATAGCTAACACTCCAGAGAGTTTTCAGAGACAGTTAATCGCATAGGAGGAGACTGCCAATCTTCCCGTCGAGCAGCTGGTGGATTTGAACCACATGCATTTGAGATTGCAGTGCAGCTCACTAGGCCACCTGAACTCCCTTATTCTGTGTTACAGAATATTAATTGAATGTAATAAACTTAAATATCTGAACTTAAAGACCCCGGTGATTGCAGTGCTAACACAAAGGCTGCACACACTTTTAGGAGTGCACCTAGGGGTCTAGGGACTTGACTTGTGGCTCCATAAGAGAAATGTGGGTAGCATACCATATTTACTGTTTATATTGGAAACCTAGTGGAGGGTCTCTATGAGTTAGAACCAACTACATGGCAGTGAGTTTTTAAGTTGAAACTTAAATAATTTTATGCTATACTGTAAGGAGGACTTGAAATGTTTGCTGCAGAAGATCAAAGACCGCAGTCTTCAATATGCGTTAAGTCCCAACATCAAGTAAACAAAAATTTTCACCACCACGCCACTAGGCAGCAGTCATGATAGAGAAGAGATACACATTTTCAATTATTTAATCTTGGCTTAGAGCCACAATCAGTACTGTTGCCACCAGCAGTCAGAAAATGAAGTGTATTGCATTGGGAAAGTGACTGGCAGGAATCTGAAGTCCTGAAGAGCAGTGATGTCATTGTGAAGACCAAAGTGCTTTCAATTACTTGCTATACATCTCAAAGTTGGACAATGAATAAAAGTGACAAAAGAATCAATGCCTCTTAGTTGTAGAGTTGGAGAAAAGCGCTGAATAGCCCATGGACAGCCAAAATAGTTCCTTAGAGGCAAGGATAATGAAACTTCATAACATATACTTGATCATATCATTAGGAGTAGCCAGTGTTTGGGAAAGAGCATTCTTGAAAGGTGAAAGACCAGCAAAGGAGGGGAAGTCTGTGAGATGGGTTGACACAATGACCATAGAGGGTGGTCTCCAGTATGGTATGTCAAACATTATCAGGATGGCAGGGTTCGGGATTAATTGTTCATAGGATCGCTATATTAGTCCTATTTGACTAGATGGCACCTACCATTGTTTAGATTTGGCTTTGGGACATCTGAGACATTTTCTATTTTATTATGGCTTTTACTTAGTTGCCTATTTCTTTACGTTACACAAATGTTTATGCATATATACTCATTTGAGCACAGAAATAGACAATAGATATAACTTCTGTGATTGGTGTTTTGAGTGTTGAATAGAAATCATGTGTGATATATTAGGAAAATTTAAATGCACTGAGAAAATCATAATTGTATGATATATTTTTAAAAATCCAATAATTTTTGAAGAACTTGTTTTTACTTACAACATACTTGCTTTTTTAAAAGTAAAGACATTTTAGTTGGCACTGCACAAGAAATTAAGATTATGTTATGAAGGACAGAAATATTAAAGCTCTGCAAATTTGTATTTATGATTTTTTAACTTTCTATGGCATAAATGGTTTAAAAATGAAACAGGATTATTTGAAATACTAATTTTCCAAATGCATTAACTTAAATGGTAATATTTAACATAGGATATTTATTTCTTTTTCTTCTTTTGCTCTTTTTTACTTTTTTTTTGTTGTCACACATTTACTCCTTCTTCCCCTCACCAGCCCACACTGCAGTGCACCCCTTGTTCTAGATTGTTCTCATACAATGCATATCATATATTCCTTTCAGTTTTCCCCCTCATCTGTTCTAATGCAGTGTTCATTATTTATCCACTCTTGCCCCATTCCCTCCTCAAGCTCTCCATCTGTACTGTTCTGTAACAGCAATGTTGTGCCATATTTGTCCTTTTGTGACCGAGGTATGTTACTTAGCATAATGTCCTCAAGGCTCCCCCATGCTATGTAATGTTGTACTATCATTGTTTTTTCTATGCTGTGTAATATTCCATTTTGTGAATGTTCCATAGTTTTTCTCTCCATTCATTTGTTGATGGGCACTTGGGTTGCTTGCATCTCTTTGCTGTAGGAATAATGCAGCAGTAAACATGGGTGTGCATCCCTGTGTTCGAGTTGTGGCCCTGGTTTCTTTAGGCTACATTTCCAGTAGTGGAATTGCTGGGTGAAATGATATTTCTGTTTGCAACTTTTTGAGATAGTGCCAGACCACCTTCCATAATGGTTGTACCATTTTAGATTTCCATCAGCAGTGAATTCCACTTTCTTCATACCTCACCAGTATTTGAGTTTGCTGCCCAGTTGAACTTTGCTGTTGTTGCTGGGTTTTTTTCTTCTTAAACATTAAATATTTTTCTGGGTTTTTCCTTTTTTTTTTAGAGAACCCGAGGACGGAAACGAAGCTTCGTTCCTGAGGAAGAGAAGCATGAGGTTGGAATAAGTTAATAATTTTTTATGTAGTTGAAACTTTCTTGTTTAAGATTGTTGATGTTTTCTAGGTATCTTGATTTTGATTTTGCTTTGTTTCTGTTCTTTGGTGTATGGTAGGAAAGAGTTCCTAGAGAGAGAAGACAAAGGCAATCTGTGTTACAAAAGAAGCCAAAGGCTGAGGATTTAAGAACTGAGTGTGCAACTTGCAAGGGAACTGGAGACAATGAAAATCTTGTCAGGTAAATTGGATGCTGAGACGTTGTCTTTAGGGGATTAAAATTCCATTATCATCATTTTCTCATCACAGATATAATGAAAAAAAAAGTCATGGTATAGGACCCGTTTTAAACTTTTATTTAGAGAAAACAATTCAGAAGCAGATTTCATTCACTTATTAGCCTGCCACACATCATTATAATGTGTATTTGTATGTAATTGAGAGCCATAATCTGGATTTTGAACAGCAGAAAATTAATTTTCTCTTTGACAAGAGAAGCTGATAATTAGTGTTATATATCGTGAGACCACAAAAATAATTTTCCTCCCATGCTTTTTCTTAAATTATTATTTTCTGTCTCATAAGATAATGAAATTATTAAGTTCTATTAGCATATTACAAAAGTTGTTTGTATTGGCAATGATAATAAAAGATACCTTTTACTGACAGGAGCTTTATTAGCACTTCTTTAATCCTTATCAAAATGAATGTGTTAAATGCTTCTTTCTTATGAAATAAAGAAAGGTGAAAAGATGGCCTAGATAGATTATATTTTGTTTTATTGTTTATTTCTTTTATTTTGGTATTGGTATTTCTCAATTTATTTATTTTTTAAAAAATCAGATATAATCCTAATCGAGGCTCCAGAGGGACTCTTCTGGAGGGTTCAAAGATTACCAGTTGTATCTGTTTGCCTCTTGGCCAAAATAAATGGCACAACACTTTGGGTGAGATGAATAAGTAGATTGTAGAACAAACAAGGAGAGTCAAATATGAAAGGCATTATTCTTTCAGAGGGCAGGATTATGTATTAAAGGAATACTTTCTGACTTCTTTCATAAATTATCTTTTGACTAAACCTTGTTAAATTAACTAAAAGAACCATAAATAAACATTTCAAAAGGAATAAACTTATGATGATGACAGAAATATATTAATTCTGTGATAGTGCATATTTGATTCTAAAATGATGTAATTTGTCATTTAGAATAATGATTTTTCTATTTCTTACTCTCTCAAAAATCCAGTTGTAAATTTTATTAATTTCTTACCTATATTAAGAACATTAAGGAAGACATAAAAATTCAATGAAGAAACACTGAGGGTTTGAACAGAGTTAACAAAATCTCTAATATGTGGCTGGTAGTTTTTAAAGTAGTTAGTGTGAAATGTTTTGAGGATTATCCTAGAGTTAAATTAATTTATAGCAAAATAGTTCCAAGGTTTATACACACTTAAATAATTCTGGCCACCATATAATTTGCTCAAGCAAAGGTTTGCTATTATTGTTATGTGACATAGAGTCATTTGGTAACTTTACATACTCTGAACCCTACCCTATCTTGAGCCAATCTCATTGTCTGACATACCTTCCCCCATCATAAGCATAATGTTATACAGTACAAAATAACAGTAAAAACCAGCAAAATAGCAGAAACATGAAAATATTATATCCTAACCAAACAAAACTTCAATTCACTTAAAGTAGTAGATAGTATAGGTTTAGAGCTTGATTAATTTGAAATCAGAGTTTAAATGTTTAAGATCACTGCTGATCTTGTTTTGAATTAATTGAATTTATGTGAATATCCATCCTCTCATTTATTTTTTTAATGTACTAGATTGTTTCAAATTACTTTGCTATAATACTTACGTAGTTTTACTAATTTCTTTGTCATATATTTGAAAGAAAGGACCTAGAAAGTGGGTATAATTTGCATGTCAAGACCACTTTATAAAAAGAAGGCATTCCCAACCCATATTTCAGTTGTTTTAACAAACCGTGTATCATTTTTCTTTTACTCTAAGATTTTTGAGTAATATTATATTTTATTAATTATTTCCTTTGTTTCTTTTCAACAATGTTTCTTTGTAACATTTTCAGTCTTAATTATATATTATCTCATCAATGTCTGGAATATTGTGAAAGTCTTTTGGATGGTAAAGATATTTTAATTGCTTTCAAATGATAGATACAAAATCCTCTTCCTTAGTTTTAACTTGTTGAGAAGACAATATCATAAATTTTCTGCAAAGTTTTTAAAAATGTAATGAAGAAGGAATTAAATGATTTTTAAATAATACATTGTAATTCATTTGAGTCAGAGAAATTGAGTATAAAGCAATGCCATAAAAATGTTTCATGTTTATAATGTGATCTTTCTGTATGGTATATATAATTTAGACTCTTATTATCCTTGTATTGAAGAAGAATTTTGTGTATTTAGTTAAGAGTAATTTTATCAGCTAATATCTGCCATTTTAATGTTTCATGTTAAAATTAACACCACTACTTTTTGGTCAATTTCCTTGAAAAGTCCCCAGTTGTCATGGTTTAGTTGGCTCTTTAATGCTGTATATATTCATGCAAGCTTTTTAAATGTAATATTTATGACATTATACTTTTTTGTTGTTTTTTATGACATTTTAAGTAATAATTTGTATTTACTAAAGATATTTCACTGCTTGACCAGATACAGTTTTGAGTATATAGTACATTTTCTTACAAAATTAAATGGTATGTACCATTGAGTCAGAACCAACCCATAGCTGGCCTTCCAATAGGTTTTCAGAGGCAGTAAGTTGCATGAGAGGAGATTGACCATCCTACTCCTGTGGAGCAGATGGTGGATTTAAACTGCGTGCCTTTGAGATTGCAGCACAGATTCGTATCACTAGGTCACCAGAGCTCCCTTTAATTACAGATTTTTGTTGCATATGCTGCATTTTCTCAAGTTTCTTTGAACTTAACTTTATGCCTAACTTTCTAGAACCTGCTTTTTAGCAGCTTTGATTTTGAAATCACAATTCTCTATATAATGTAGGCTATATATATATAAAAAATCCTTCTTAATTACTTTTCTTGCTTTTTCCTTTATTTACAGATGTTTACATATATTTACATATGTGTGTATATGTCTTATATCACTGGAAATTTGCATTTAATATATCAATAGACAGCAGTTAGTGAGCTCTGTTGTTTTTGATGAACTTAAGGTTTTGTTAGACTTTAGCAAATAAATTCATCATCTCTGTACCTCAGCATTTTCTCTTCTGTTGTTTATGATCAGAATCACTCTATGCTCCATTAAAGATGTCATGATAGGGCTTTAGTTTTAGTAATGAGAAGCAGTGATGTCAGTCTGGAGACTAAGGTGCACCTGATCCAGGACATGGTCTTTATAATTACTTGCTATGTATCAGAGAACTGGACAATAACTAAGGATGACAGAAAAAGAATTGATGACTTTGAGTTGTGGTGCTGGAGAAAAGTCTTGAACATACCATGGATTGCCAAGAAAACAAATATATCTGTCTTGGAAAAGGTGAAACCACGTTTTTTCTTAGTGGCTAGGATCTTGAAGCTCCATCTCACATACTTTGGGAATGTGGCCTGCATGAATTGATCTTTGGAGAAGAACATCATTCTCGGAAGGGTGGAGGGACAGTATAGGAGAGGAAGACCCCAGATGAGATGGGCAGTGCGGGTAGGTGTGTGGAATCAGTGAGACCGACTCAGGACAGGGCCCGCTTCAGAGCTGTTGTACATAGGGTCGCTATGAGTTGCAGGTGACTCGACAAAACATAAATAACAACAACAATGGAATTAACTAACTTGCAAAAATTTTTTGTATTTACATACCCTAAAATGAAGGTCTCAGTTGAAAAATATAGTAATAATAAATACTTGTTCTTTGCTTTTAAGAAGTTGGATTATAGGGAAAGAAATGTGAAGCTTTTGTTACATGAGTTCTAAAATAATAGACAGCTATTTCTTTTAATAATAGGACTTTTGCAAAATTTCACAGTCTTAAAGTTGAAATGTTTTATAGTTATGGAGTATTTTAAAAAATGACTTAAAAAATAACTCATCTTGCCATTTACTCTTAACATTTATAAATTTCCAGTTGAAAACCCATTTATTTTTGTTATCCAAACCAGAACTTGAAATTAATTGCCAACTTGAAATTAATTGCCATTGACTCTATTCCAAATCATAATGGTCATATATGACAGAGTAGAATATGTCTAGTTTTCAAGACTATAGTTACCTCAGGGAGCTCTGATGGCCTAGTGGCAAGAAGCTGCAGTGCAATCCCAGAGACACATGCTTCAAATCCATCAGATGCTCTGCTGAAGAAGGAGGGACAATCTCCTCCTGTACCAGGAAGATCCACTTTGACAGTACACACACAAAAATAATAATAAATGAAAAATAAATAAATAAGAAAAAGACTAGTTACATCAGCTGCAGAAGTATGGACATTCTCTTCCCTTGTGAAGTATAGCCTTTGAAAACTGGCTAGCAGTTGATTAAACGTAAGGACAGTGATTGTTTCTGAGGATCTTTATGGATGCAAATTGTCACGTCTTTCTCTAACTGAAAAACTACTATATTTGAACCATGAATCTTTCAGTTAGCAGGTGACCATGTTGATTAGTGTGCTAATTTGAGTTCCTTTTAATCTGCTAACTAAAAGGTTGCTTCTTAGACCCCATCTGCTGCTCCTTCAGGAAAGAAAAGGCAGTTTCTGTTGACTGAGTGGTTTTGTTATTTGCTCTCCAATTAACTACAACTCATAGCTACCCTAATAACAGCATATTTGAATTCTGCCCTATTCTGTGCCATGCTAATTCCTTGCACATACCCAGCCCACTGTTAAAGTTACTGTGTCAGTCTACCTTGTTGAGTGCCATCCCCTCCTTCACTGACCTTTCCAAGCATGATGTCCTTTTCCAAGAGCTGACTCCACCTATCATCGTGTCCAAATTATGTGCAAAAATGTCTTACTGTCCTTGCCTCCTACTAGCACCCTGGCTTCATTTTATTCTTTTGGCCATCCATGGGCTATTCAGTGCTCTTCTCCAACACCACAATTCAAACACATCAATTATTCTTCTCTTCTGGTTAATGCTAACAGCCAAATTGAAATTTTGTAATTGTGAGTCTTGTTTCTTTGTTGTGGGTGTACCTTGTTGGAAAATGTATGTGCATTGTATCATACATATTTTCTTTTGCAC